CCAGGTAGCACTTTGCTAACATGGCAAGGTGAGGATAAAGAGGCTCATGAACCTTCCACCAGGCAAGCAGGCTGGAATCAGTTGAAATGCAGTCCTTTGCCATGTAGGCATAAACTTCGTCCTGTGACTGCTGCATCCAGTCTGGCTGCTCTGTTCTAAAGAGGGGCTAAAAAGTTCTGCCATGGCGGACTTCTTTGGTGGAGGGGAAGATGCTGCCTCTGCAGTCCGTCTGGTCTCATCCTGCAGTACAAAATGGGGAAAAAGTAATAATGAGTGAGTTCAGAGTTCAACAATTCAAGTTAAGACATGAACTTATAAAAAAAATCATTCTTAGTGTAAAATGCATACATACCTGTTCAGCTCTGCTCAGGACCTCTGTGATGATGAGGTCTTCATAGATTGTTTTTTGGCAGGCAGGCTCCAGGTGGGGAAGTGTCTTGAACCTTGGATCCAAGGCAGTGCACTTGTGAAGGAGGTCCTGAAGCCCAGGGTGCCGATGTGCATGCTTGATTTCCCTGATAGTAGGAGTGTCTTCATCATTTTGTTCCATAGATTTCATGATCATTGTTTTTAGTGGTAAGATCATGGGACCTGATGGTGCTGTTTCAGTGCTCAGTATTGTGGTGATTGTCTTCAGAGGTTTCATGATCTCAACCACGCTCTCTGCAACACTCACCTCCTGATCAGTCAGATTGGCTATTTCTTTGTTCTTGAGGGCCTTCTCTGTTAGTGCTGAGTAAACTGCCGTTTGCTGTTCCAGATACCTCTCAACCATCTCATAGCTGGAGTTCCAGCGTGTAGGAACATCATTGATGAGACGATGTTTTGGCAAGTGCAGCATCTCCTGCTTCTGCTCTAAAATATGTGCAGCCACTGTGCTCCGATGGAAAAGAGAAACGGCTCTTCAGATTTTTCCCAGGAGTCGAGACACCTGGTTGGCTGCCATCGCTTTCTGTGATGCTAACTTTAAAGTATGGGCAAAGCATGCAATTTGTGGACCCGGTCCTGCTTCATTAACTACATTAACAATGTTTTTTGCATTGTTTGTGGTTACTGCAATGGTTCTGGGCTTTTCAAGTTTCCACTCTGTTACTGCCTCTTGTAGCTTCTCAGCCAGGTGAGTGCTGGTGTGTTGTTCATATACTGGGCGTGTTGATAAAACTGGGCTTTTCATTTCCCACTCAGATGTGATGAAGTGGGCAGTAATGGTGAGGTACCTTTCAGTGGAACGGGAGGTCCACCCATCAGTTGTGAGTGCAGCAGTTTGTGCAGCAGACAGCTCATCCTCTACCTGTGAATGGTTGGGACCACAGACTGGCTGATGTGCGTATGGGATGATGGGACATTGTAGCGTGGCTCAAGCACGTTGAGTAAATACTTGAAGCCGGGCTCCTCTACGACAGCATGTGGACGCATAGATGTTGATATGTATATGCCAATTGCTTCCGTGATTTTGCTGGCCCTGTCTGTTTTCATGTCAAGAGGCTGCTTAAAAACAGCGGGGATGAGTTGTTGCACTCGCGTCTGTTTCCTTGCACCAGTGATCGGCATGTCGGGGTGATGCCGTCTTATATGCGTTAGCATGTTTGATGTATTGCCAGAAGCATACCGCACCTCAGTGACACAACGCCGACAGACGGTCCGGTCGACCACCCGCCTGCCATCCCCGTTATATTGCACTGGGAACCTGAAGTGCTCCCATACGTGTGATCTAAATGAAGCTGGTGGCTCTTCTAACTCCACGCTCTCCATTCTTCTTCTGCTGCTCCTGCTTATCCCGTAATGTTGGTTGCTGGCAGCTTTTGGGCTCATTACCGCCACCTGGATTGATGTGTGGCCTCAGCTTTTTTAAATACTCAGACGTATTCGTTGTGTGACTGCCTGCACCGAACCGGGACGGGACGGGACAAATACAAATACCGGTACACCCCCATCACTCACTGATCCCAGATTCTCAGGAAACCAGTCACTGCATTCTGATGCTCATGTTGCACCCAAGGTTCTTAAATGCAGCCAGCTTGTTGGTGACAAGTTCTTCATGGTTCCTCACCTTGTTGTAAAGAAAGTTCTTCACAACCTGAACAAAAGCTGTCCACGCTTCAGGTTCCGCTTCCTTCATGGAGTGCTCAAGCTTTGGATCTCTGATGAGCTGACAGATTTGTGGACCGTGAAGCTCCTGTCCAGAACTTTGTGCTGTTCATGAACCAGGAGGAAACTTTCTGTCCACATTTATTCACCTGCAGATGTTTTTAGTGTCAACGTGTAACGGTTTCAGGAAACAGAAAAACAGCCTGAACACAGAAATGTGAAACAATT